GAAAGATGAAATGAATCCCAGGTGCTCTTACAATCCAGAAATAGATGTTTTAAGACATGAACAAAGAGAACTGGTGTTAGCAAACACATTGAATTCTCTCTTCCCCTGGATTCCTCTTGCTTAAATGCATGTTTATATATATATATATGCAGATACACATATACATATATATAGTATTTTACTTCTTACCTATAGATAACATTATATTTCAAAGTTTTAACCAAACTTATGAAGGGAGTTTATTACAAAATCAACTTCTTGGAGGATACTTCTAGCTCCCAAATCCACAGCATGCTAAAAGGTCTGAAGCATCTGAAACTTCTGCCTCCTCTAAAGAGCATATAAAATAGTAAAAAGCACATGCTCTTCCCCTTTCTTCCATTTTAAATGACTAGGGAGATTTCCCAAGCCATGCTGGAGCCACTAACTGTCCAAGAAACTGCTGCCTACATCCGTTTCCTTACTGGGTTAAGACTATTTGTGAAGTGAATGCAACTACTCAGGTACACAGATGACTCTTGAAAGTAGCTTCTCAAAAATTTTTTAACACTTCATGACTATTCAAGAGAAATATTATGCAATTAATCTCTTCAGCAAAAGGTGGATGGGATCTCTGCTACTTTTCATTAAGCTATGCTCTATGACTTGTTCTAATGGTTCTTCTCTATTAGTCTCAAGTTCTTTCTCCATTGCCAATTTAAATTTCGATTTTTTTTTTTTTTTTAATATTGTTTGTTGGTTATGACCAGACAAGAATATTTTCTCATGTGGATCACTGAATTAAACTGATCTGTGAAAAAAGATTCCCATGGATTTTCTGTAACATCTTTTTCCCCACCTTGCATACCAGAACTGTCAAAAAGAAGCCCCTCCAACAAGTGTGTGCCCTAATACATACACTCCACCACTTGAAAGGACAAAATTTTTTAAAATGACATTACTGTGTCTCAAGCTACCTGCTTTAAAGGACTGATCTGATTGATGCAACAAATGAAAGGAACAACATGGAACTTTTGCTTTCAGACTGCCCGATGCTGAAAGGAAGGCCAGGTATTACAGGTAAACTATACACTACGCAAAAATAAATATGCAGATAAAAATGATACTAGAAAAACCCTTACTTAACTTTAATAAGTTAAGTAAGATAAGTAAGTACCAGAGTACTACCAGTAAAGAAAACAAACTGCAAATCTATTTTGCCAGCCAAAGATGAGTTTATGAGGGAAGAGAACAGATTATAGTTTAACATAGCAAAATCACGTGTCACTATGGGATGGATTTAAAATCGGACGGATGCAAGAATGACAGAAAATTTTTCCTACTTTCCATGAAGACTTTGTGAGAAGTGTTTCTTACAAATGGTGCTTCTTACAAATCCCCTCACTATGACCTGCCTGAGAACTTGACAGTTTACAGGAAAAGATAAGCTGAAATGGAAATAGCAACTTCATTAAACATTTCTTTCTCATGAGAAGGAAAAGGACCTTAATTAGTATGCTTTTACTTACTAGAAGGAAACTTTGTGGACATCATTCAATTTTTAAAAAATAACTTATGAGTTATCATATACGGAAAAATGGAATTCTGTGAAATGCTGAAAATAACAAATTAAGAAAATCACTGTCCTTTTGTTTTCTATGAAAAGTCATGTTAGGACTTTGCAGTGGATCAGTGGGAAGGACAGGTAGTGTGCCAGCAAGCCAGCTCACCAGCACAGCCACAGGCAGCAGCTATGAGGGACACTTGCTAAACCTTGGAATTACAACAGCAGTCTTCAAATGAACATCTCACATGCAATCCCTATTAATGCTACCACGTGACATAGCCATGTTTCTGAAGTGTTCTAGTTTACTACAGTATGAGTATTTAGAAGTCTGGAAAACAGTCTTAGAAAGGCTACTCAGGAAGAAAAATCTAGTGTTTCATAAATATATTTTCCAGTCCTCAACTAATACTTCACTTACATAGTGTCTGCTGTGCATCTGCTATGTATCTTACAGTCTCCATTTTTAGCTGTCATGTACTTCCTCAGTAAAGGTTTTCTTTTACAGAAGTGTATACTCAGAAGAAAAGCAAAGCTATAGCAATCATGCCACTGGTCCTACTGCTTACTATTATCTTCAAAGTTTTAGGCTTGATTTACATTGCGTTCCTCCCTATTTGACTTTAATTGTCTGCTTCAAGTTGTCAGGACATAACTATATCTTAGATTTGCATTGCATTAGGGGATCTTTTCCTTTCTCTATTGATCTTGTCTTATGGAGTAATTTAACTCAATTCTAATTTTCTTTTGCATGCGGGGTGCTCTCTATCCAAGGAAGTGAGTTATGTGTATTCAAGTGGTGCATCTTATGAATCTTGTTAAGCTTTACCGCCTTATAGCCTGCACTGATGGAATATTTAATCACAGAAATGAGTTGGCAGATATGATGTACAATACAGTTAAGCCTTGCGGCATGTGTCTTCACCGGCAATTGAAAAGCGGGTGAATTTGCCATTCATCAGCGCCATCCTGACAGCTTTGTATAACCTTCTGTTTTTCTACTTATTTATGAAGATTAAAGATACTTTAAATCAACAGTTTCTCTGAAAATGTATCATCTTTATTTCAGAAGTGGCCAAATTTTTCATCATTTATTAGGAACTAAAGAAACTTCTTGCACATCACTATGAAAGTCATGGTTCAATTTTAACATGACAATGTTGGAGAAAATAATTAAACAAAATAACCAGAATTCTGATTGTCTTAAAAATCTCATTTCTAATTTTATAATCTTCAAAAGTGTAATTGCTTCTTCTCTAAATAAGGTGGTAGGTGGGAACCAAAAGGGAAAGATATGTCACAGCATTCTATTATGGCATGCAGGAACTGCATTGTTCTCCTACTGTTTCACTTTCTAATGAGATCTGCACAGAGCTATTCATTTATGTGCTTATTTTTAAGGAAACTGCTGAAAAGAAAGTTTAAATGTCTGAAGAAACATATCTATTAGTCAGTACAGAAAATAAGCTTTTGATATGCATTAAAAAAAACCAAACCAAAACAAAGAAGCTGCCTGTATGTATAAACAGAATGATAATATGAAAGTATCATGTAGAAGTAACTTCATAGAACTTTCTGCATAGGTGTAGTGGAGTGCATGTCATAATTCACAAAATTAAATTAATACTCTTCTAATGGTAATTAAAGATCCTCATTAAGAAGGGCAAACACCTCCCTTGTGTTGGCAATAAAAATGCACTTGGGACTTTAGGAGGTTATACAAAAAAATCAATAACCTGCCATTTTATAATTAAAAGACAAAATAAATGTTAAGGAAAAGTCCAGTAAATTAGGAAAATTACCTTCAAGAAAGATTGAAAATATTGATTTTAATTTACAAACTATGTGAACTCTTCATGCCCTACTACATGAGACAATTACAAGTCAGATTGTTAATTCTGCATACTCGTTAGAAAATTGATTACTGTACTATAGGAATATTATTACATTTGTCATTAACACAAAGTCATTTATATAAAATGACTAATAACTCTGACTTTCTAATTTATGCAGGTTCAGGGCTGGTTCACTAACTACTCAAATGAGATCAATGTAAATTCCTGTTTTCAATGTAGGCATACATCAAGGATGGAAATAATTTTTGCCTGCACTAAAATTACAATTCCATGAATGCCAAGTTAGTATTTTTATTAGATGGTGCCACTTTTATCCTATTTGGAACATTTTTATCTATCTTAGAGGATGGCACTGGATGTATTACAGGCAGCTTTTTAAACATAAATATCTGTTTGTAACAGTAGTACGATTTAACAATTTTTATCTCTTGGAGCCCCTTGAACTAATGACAGTTTTTCAGCTTTGAAGAGTGGAGGTTTGAATATCTATGAATGGAGATTCCCCAGCTTCTGTGGGCAACCTCTTCCCATCCCTAACCACCATCTGTGAAAAATGCTTTCCTAGTATTTGCTCTCTCTTTGATGTAAAGAATGTATTCTACAATTAACTCTTTATTCTCCATTACCCAAGTGTGTGACAAGAGATATTTTGGGTTTTTAAAACATTATCAGGTATTTGCATCCAGTATACATGCACCCAGACAACTGAAAAACAGATCCAAATGGAAAACTCAAAAATTCCCAGAATTTCCATGAAAGTCATGGAAGACTCAGGTATGATTTTGGAACCTAAAAAAGGAAGGAAGGCATCTTTATTCCCTATTAGAAACATTTGTATTTACTATGATTATTTCTGACTTAGATGTAAATTACTAGCTTTCAAAAAATGTGGGAGTTTTTTGTTTTTTTTTTTTGTTTTTTTTTTAAACTTGCTAGTGATTATGTTTACAGGCAGGATTAAAATTTCTTGAAATCAACTGGGTTTTGGGTTTCATGTTTGTTCTCAATAGTGTTGCTAAAACACATTTAGAAACTGTTGCTAGCCATGACTGATTTCCAGAAGAAAAAGACTGTATCTGATCAACTCCAAATTGTAACCAGGGTCTCAGTGAAGACTCAAGTGGTAATACAGATTCAAAACACAAAAATTCTAAGAAACTCAACAACTAAAAATAAAATTTAAAGAAAAATGTTCAATAAAAAATTATTGAAACAGATTCTCTATACCTATCTGTGTCGATGTGCATGTATATACAAAAATGCATCGATTTTTGTTGTTGCTGCTTACTAGGCTTAAATAATTTCTGGAGAAAGTGATTGTACTGAAATATAAAACATATAAAATAAAATCTTATATAAGACTGGAATACTGCAGTACATTTCATGTTATACTATCTACTCTCCAATAAAAGATATTCATATATCTCAGTATAAACTTTAGTAGGCAAGTTAAAATCCTGCAACACAAATCTGTACATGACTTGCAGATACTGTGAATCAAAGAAACCAAACCTCACACCAAATGCATATTCTGCACGTTTTCATGTTTTAAAACCTATTAAAATGAAACATGGCATGGACAACTATTGTGTAATCCTTACCTGCATAGAATTCTGGACTATAAACTGCACCAACAACTGGATTTAATTTCCAGCCTGCAGCAAACATAAAAACATAATGGAGTTAATATTGCAATTAGTGATAATAATTTTTTAAATTTTATTTTTGGATAGAGGTATACAGATGGAATGGCTTCAAAAAGGTCATTTTAATAAAAGTTTTACAGGCAGTTTAGATTACTGATCTTTAACATCAGACTCTGAAGTATATGGCAGTAAGTAATGAAACAAGGCATTCTCTAGACATGTAGTATACTGGAGTAAACTATCAGGTGTGCTAGCTTGGCTGCAATGCAAAGCTGCTGTGGATTTATTGCCTGAAGTTACAGAATTGAGTCAGAACTAGTTCAAGTATCCCTGTATCGTGTAGAAGCAGAGTAGACCAGCTCTTTCTCATTGTGTTAACTCTCTGGTTACAAGCCAGAGAGGCCAAAACAGTTCATCTGCTGGACAGAAACAGCAAATGAAATAGCAAAGGATGAAAGGCAATCAAATAATCTGATAATTAGATTCTACTCTGGGAAAATGAAAGCTTAGGCACCATGTCTAAGAAGAATGTCTATTGTGAGCTGAAAGATTTGTGCACTGTGGGATCCCAGTCAAACACCAGAGACTTTTGTTTCCATTTGCATTTTTACATCAGGCTGTCTGTACTGGAACAGGACAATCACAGGCAAATACCAAAAGCGACTGCACCGCCTATACTTGCAGCTGATAAATGCTATTAGCATATTGCTATAAAGTAGCTGGCATGTAAGAAAATGTTGCAGTCACATTCTGCAAAGCTCTTTAGTGGTACAAATGCAGCCCCTGCCTATGTCTTAAATAATCCCTGTCCTCCCACAGCTAGCATAAAACTAAAGCCCAGAACCAACAAATATTCTGCATCATGTTGTGGCCAAACTCCAACTGCTGCGTGGAGACCTCATAGCAGCCTTCCAGTATCTGAAGGGGGCCTACAGGGATGCTGGGGATGGACTCTTCATTAGGGACTGTAGTGATAGGACAAGGGATAATGGGTTAAAACCTAAACAGGGGAAGTTTAGTTGGGATATAAGGAAGAAGTTCTTTACTGTTACGGTGGTGAGGCACTTGAATAGGTTGCCCAGGGAAGTTGTGAATGCTCCATCCCTGGCAGTATTCAAGGCCAGGTTGGACGAGGCCTTGGGTGATATGGTTTAGTGCGACGTGTCACTGCCCATGGCAGGGGGGTTGGAACTTGATGATCTTAAGGTCCTTTCCAACCCTAAGTATTCTATGATTCTATTCTATGATTCTATTCTATGATTCTATGATTCCAACAAATTGCTGTTGTGTCCTTAGACCCAGTGTGGCTTTTCCAGGTAAGACTAGAGTGCCCAGGCTTACTGTAGAAGTGATGCCTGTGTTTAAAGTATATGTGATGCTAAAGACAGGAATGCTGAAGGAACTCAAGGGGAAGGGGTAAGAGAACAGCAGAAGAAAACACTGGCAAACTCAGCACTCTCAGCTGCACAAAGTGCGAATTACTGCTGTTTTCTCACAGGTAGATCTGCTCCCATATAACTCCAAACTCCACAGAACATCCCCCATGCACACTTTTTTTTTTGCAGGGTTTTTTTTTGGTTGTTGGTTTTTTTTAAGAGTTTGAACAATTATTTGAACTAGAGGGACTGAAAAATTAGGGGTTTTCCAAAAGCACACTTGAATCAGCAGAGTGGGAAGCACCGTCTGTAAACAAGAATAAAGAAAAAAAACTGAGCAAAGGCATCTTGTGAACTCAAGAGCTGTGGTACTTCAAACAGATCCTGTAACTAAGCTCCTGGAAACAAAATACAATCAAGACAGGGACAGCAAGACTTATCAAAATCAGAAGAGCCAAGATTATAGGAATATAAATGCAAACTGTGTTCAGGTTTGATTCTGCTTTGGCCATATCATGTAATGCAAAAGCACAGCAGAAGATCATAAAACTGTAATGCATTATAAGACCAATATAGTGTAATACAAAATCTCAAGAATAATACAGAAGAAAACTATTCCTATCCTTTAAAAATACTGCTATCTCTATCTGATGCACAGCAACCATTTACCAGTACTTAACTGTTCAGTACCAGAGGTGAGGGGTGTTTTTTAAATGCAACCCATAAATTCAAACAGAGTGAAGAGCAACACTGCATGCAATCGGCTCTGCAGAAGTAATTGCAGTTGCTATACATACCTAAAAGACAATTACGGAAACTGAAAAATGGCCAACCAAGAAAGGCTAAAATCACTTTCCTCCTAAAAATATCTCACCTGACCCTTCAATTTTACATACTACAAGAGTATATTTATGAAATGTCCCGGTTTAACAAAGCCTCTTAGCCAAATTTTGTGTGATAGAAAATCAGCCAAATTTTGTGACTCTCAGTAAGTATCTTACTTCTTAAAGATTAGGGAAAATGTAATATTTCACATTCATTATTTCCTCAGAGGACCACTCATCAACACCACCCAGAATGAAATAATTTATCTGTCATATTACATATCTGTCAGCTTTTCCTGTTAAAGAAGCTGACAGAAACCTCTCAGCTAAGTTACACCAGCAGCACCACAATTTGTCTGAGAGAAAGAAAAGATCTTGGAAGAGGCAGATTGCTCTTCACAGCTGAAAGCCACTCTCATATTTCAGTTCCTTACCTCTCTTACAGTAATGGCTGTCTCATCTAACTTTCTGCAGCTTATACAGGAAATACTTCATTCATCATGAAAATAACAGTAATTAAACTTAACTTTATCTTGTCAGCTACCAATGTGCTGGCCCATAGCTGTGTGGGTTAATCAAGTGTGATAGTAGTTGATGTATCTGAGCAAGCAGCTGCCAAGTAACCCTACTTCAGCAGCTGGAGGAGGCAAATTCTCTGCAGTGGGTGTAATTTTGTGCATTTTTCTTACTGACATAATATTCACCTCCTCCTCAGGTTGAAACTGTAAAAGCTCAAAACTTAAAAACCAAACAAGGAAACAACCAACCCCCCTGCCTGACCCCAATCCCCATACATTCATTCAGAGAAATGCTCATTATGTGTACTAAAGGGAAGGAAATAATCATACCACACAGTGTAATAAGCATGGTAGGAAGTGGGGCATGGCAATGCAGAGAGGACTGTTTTCACTTCATAGGCCAGACAGGCATATGCGGCTAGAGGAATGGTCTGGTGGGAAAGAAGCCCTGCTACATGGTTTGCTTTCTTCCTGTTTGCATGCAGAGTAGGGAGGAAAGGGCCATGGAAGGGAATTTAACTGTGGTAATAGTCACTAGCTATGATTTTGAATCTGAGTTTAGGGCAACAAAAGGCTCAAACTCAAGGCACCCGAAGTATAAAGTTTAAAACGCATTTATCCCTCTACTGTTTCAAGGTCCTCATGTATTGCTGAGGTTCTCTGAATCTACTTGCACGTAATTCTCTATTTCCTATAACACTTGGATGAGCACCCTGAACTGCAATATGGACAGCAGAAGAGAAAGGATGAGCTGGAACATCCAAAAATGTCTCCAAAGTATTTCTGTCAACAAATAGAACTCCTGACACTGAATTAATGTGCAAAGAAAAGGTAGTTCTAGCTCCAAAGCACAAGACCAGCCATCAAAATCATCCTGACTGATAACAAATACACACTAAAAACCTCTTCTAGAAACTGACCGTGTACTAACTGCTCATTTTGGCAACCATCAAAAGTCACTGGAAAGCACACTTATTTCAAAAACCATTTAGGACAAAAAATCAAGCCATTTTTTTGAATGAAGTTGCATATACTTTTTAAAAGTCTAGGGGTTTGTGCTTTAAAATCTACTAACTTTTCCAATCATAATTACAATTTGATCCCTGCATTCAAAGAACCAGCAGTGTTCACGAATGAAAGACAAAACAGTGTATCTTATTTTTAGATTACAATAAATATTAGTGCCTGATGTTTTTATATAATATGTGCCCCCCAACTGTGTTTTGAATACCTGCCAATAACATGTCAGTCACCATGAACTATTTGAAAAATAAAGCCACACGTTAAAAAAAGAAGCAGTTCTGGAGAGATAGGCATGTACAAACAAAATGTTTCTGGCTATCTGCCTCAGAATCATCTTGCAAGAGTTAATATGCTCATAGAAGAACACAGAAAAACTAGCCTTATATTTTATTTAAAAGATGAGACCTTTACTTTAGACAACAATAAACTTTAATATTCAGATATAGCACTGGTTAATTCCTGACAAAATGATAAAGGACTAGAATCATACAATGTCAGGATGACTGATAATAGAAGCACTGATTAAACTAAATGAAGCACCTTGCATGTCTACACTTCATTCCTTATCACTTGTAATGATTATCTAAGAAGAACATGGTCCTCCTTTTGTGTTTATTTCAGGGGACCACAGACACTAAGAAAATAAAAAAAAATTATGAATTACAATCAGAGTTTGTCTTGTAGATAACCATCAAAAGGTGTGCAAGAGAATGTTCTACGTGCTTACCATCCTACCACCTTGAATGTATAGATTCTCATGATGATTTTTATGAACTGAACAGGATATTCCTACATTTGGTGAGATCTAGTCAAGATGGAACAGGATGGAAAATGGCAGACAAAACACTTCATGTGGGAAACAGCAGATTTCCATCATTCTGGTTTTGGATATTAATAAAAGATAATGCATTACCTAAGTAATCCTGCAGTGCGGGACACGGAGGTGAACCTCCTCTAAAACCAGATTCCTAAAGTCCTCATATCTCAATTTCCAGCCTCCCCTTCCCTTAGCACTGGATGTGCTGATACGTAACATGTTATTTGCCAATTTAAGCGTTTTGTAGCATTAGGGTAATATGAATACAAAATATACATTATAATTTATGCCAAAACTACTCTTATCCCTGTATCATTACAACATAGCAAAGTTTGTAATAGCATATACATATAGTTAATTTAGCTTCTTATTACAACAAAATCATGTGATCTACTCAAGCTTCATGTTTCTTATGACAGATTCACTGAGATGTTTTAAAACCAGTAAAAAAGGAGATTCTCCCATCTGCATCATTTGCCAAGTTCCACATTTACATACAAAATGAGGAAGAAAGCAGTTTCTGAGAAAGCATGAGGAATTTCAGACACTTCCTCTCAGTTCATTTTAACTAGCTCAATTATTACATCAAATGAAAATCATCACTGCATTTTATTTTTACAGTGGTAGGAAAAAGTTTTGGCTCTTTCATTAAAAAATAAAGCTATGGTGTGCTCTGGGTTTTAATAAAACCTCATGAATGAGATCTCAGATGTAGAAAATAAGATCCATTTTATTTCAAAATGGAAAAGAGTCTAGTCTATTTCTGGAAACTTTTACTGACGTATGTGTAGATGTCATGTGCTTTCTACTGGATAGGAAAAAATAAACTGAAAAGAAAATAATTATAACTACACAGTCTAATAAAACTGGAAAATGCAATTGTAATTAACTTCAATTAATGTATTATTGTTTCACATTGTTGAGTTAGGAACTTGTGAGCACATGATCAAACACTACCAAAAGAAACATTTTTCAAATGTATGGCTTCCAAACCTCTCAAATATCTGTAGATTATTTTTCTACCATTAATGTACAACAGTATACTGATTTAGGTCAGTATTATAAGGAATTTTTTAGATAGCTTGGAAATTAGATTTTTCCAGAAAAAAAAAAACAAACAAACTGGGAGTGGCACCCAATTACAGTTTGTCCTTTTCTTGTAACAAATTGTGGAAGGAAGACACAGAAAATTATCTTTGGCTAGATGCGTGTCTTGCTACTAGAAAGTACCTCATGCTTGACAAGAGACATTCCTCTTACTGGTCTCCCTGCCTCCACTATCCAAGCAAAACTGAATCTTCTGATTACTTCATTCATTGCGACACTATCACTACACAAAGCTGGAAGAGAATAACACTGTCCTATCAATCAGGTGTATTTTCCTACACAAAAGCCACTGTAGTTAAATGCCCAGATTTCAATCAGGCAAAACGATGCATGCGATACCCACACAGCTGTGAGAGCTAAACTACACATAAACAGAATTTATACCTGGCCATCTCATTTCTTAGGTCACTGGAGAAAGCTGGAGCCTGAGGAGATGCAGGAGATGCAATAGAGGACTACGAAATTTCATGAGTAGATGAGTCCACACGTTCAGCAGAAGAGTGAGGTTTCACATGCACTGACATTAAAACAAAGCACTTGAGAGCTCATGCACTTACCATTCGTGTAAGGGTTGACGGTCTTTTTATTTGTCATTACACGTGCTGTTGCATTATTTACCTAAGCACATAGAACACTGGATTAGAAAGGGCTATAGGGAGGATCCACGTTACTATCAAATGCATGCATTATTACTGCTATTAGTCATGTAAAAAATAAAACGCAATTTAATTTATAGAAGGCAACAGGTGCATAACAAAATCATACTATTTATAATTACATTTACTTTCATAACCATTTTAACTTACAAATCATTTCAATAAAGCAACATCATTTAAACTTTAATAAAAAGACATTAAAAGCAAATTAAAAGGTACTGCATAATTTAAGACTTAAGAGCATGCTTGTATTCCATGATAACACTGATACAATAAATACTCAGAAAAAAAAAAGAAGATTATATGAAGGAACATGCAGTGGAGTAGAAAGGAAAGAGACAAGGTACAAGGAAACAAAGAAAATGTCAAAAAAGGGACAAACGTATTTTAGCAGTGTGCAACATAACCCTTTAGAAGAGAAGTACCATTGGAAAAGCAACATCTAGCATTCAACACTTGGAACAAGAGCCTTTTTCATTGCAAGAATTAACAAAATCATTCAAGCTTTAAAATCACAGCTAACAAAAGGATAAAAAGAGGGTGCATTATTTAACACAATATGGAGTTAACAATCTGAGTAAGATGTGCACGAAGTCATATCCTCAATCCAATCAGTGCCTCCCAGGCTTGCTTAAAACGTACACTCAATTACAGGCGTACCAATATAGAAAAAAATGTAGCATCAAGAAAACTTAATACAACAAGTCAAAAAAATTCACGTGGTATATCAGCGCTAAATACGTGAAACGGCAGATGGACTTCTCCACTTACCATTCAGCACCATCGCCAGCATGGGTATGTATACAGTTACCATGGTTACTGAGAGTTTGGTGAGGGCCCTAAGCGCTACCGTCGAAGGGGGAAAATGAAAAGGCAAAATATGCAACATCTTACTCAAAAGACGACAGCATTTTCAATTGGTATTTTTTTTACTCTAACAAATACGACTGAGGCAGTATTGAAGGGGATCCAGTGGTATTAAAACACATTTGTCTTGGGTTTTTAGTGGACAGGAGAGGCCCAGGCCAGCCAGCCAAAGTAGCTTATGGCTCCATTGAAAATTAAATGTTAAAATTGGTTGATCTCTTGTCTGGATTTGTTTCTTTTTCTTGTACATCTTTTGGATGCTTCTTTCCCAATCTGAATATTTTGAAAGCCACTGTGGATCCCGCATCAACCCTGCAGCAAAAAAAAAAACAAAACAAAACAAAACCAAAAAAACCACCTTTTGTTTGTTTTTGTTTTGTCTGTCACACTTTCTTTTTCGTTGTTGTTCTCAATTTTTTTCTGTTTTCTTTCTTTTTTTTGTTGGCTGGTTTTTGGAATCTACTGCACCCATTGATTTACAAAACATTCAAAATAATAACTTCCAAAATATTAAAGCTTTCATTTGTTTGTTTGTTTGTTCAATTCTTTCATCCACCTTTCAGCAATAATGATAATAATAATAATAATAATTACAAAAGAAATAATAATAAAAAAACCCAAGTAAGGCCAGATTCTCTGTCTTTATTTATAAATATATATATAAACAATGGGAAGGGGGAAGGGGAGCACACAGAAGACACCAATGATGCATCTGAAACAACAAATGAGAGTGAAGCAGACATTTATAAAAAAGATGAAAAGGAAAATATTTTGAACATGCACCTCGATTTTACGGCCCTCTACCACGGTGCCGTGTAATTTCTCCCTCGCCCTGTCCGCATCAGCACTATTTTCGAAAGTTACGAAACCAAATCCCTGCATGCAGGAGGGAGAAGGGGGGAAAACAACATGCACATTATTATTTCAGTCAATGACCACTTGGTTTGCTTATGTTCTCTCTCTTTAATTTATTATTTTCTTGTCCTTGCTTCATTTCTGTAACATGCAAATTAGAAAAATTATAATTGTATTGAGATGTGCAGTAAATAAGCGACAAATGTGAACAAATTTTTTCTGTCATCAGTTAGATAATACCCTCTGAGAAAGTCAAAGAATGATACCAAAAATACCTATCTACCTGTCACTACAGAGGAAAATAAATCTAACAATAAGAAAATTAAATTTAAAGAAATTACAGTGTCTTCACATAGAAAAAAAAATGAACTAATGAGAAAAGAAAATGAACCACATTTTAATGACATGCAGATATCTCAATGAAATAAAAAACATGTGCACAAAATTCAACACTGAATGTCAATATACTCTAAAACATTGCCTACTTTATCATGCTGTCGTGATACTAAAAAACATTGTTCCCATGCAACACTAGGGTAACTTAAACTTTTGTCAAACTATACAGCCTTTACTTATTTTTTTATAAAAAAAAAAAAGAAAACCACCAACAAAACAAAAGTACTTTTAGAAAAAAGTAGAAACTTCCTTGTATTAACAGATCAAATAAAATCACATGATGTGAATAGAAAAAGAAACTCTGATAAAGGAATAAAAATGTAAATATTTTGAATAAGTTCCACTGCTTTATTTACTACTTATGTATATAATTTCCCACACACAGAACATGCAACTAGTAAAACTCCAGAATCTCGTGTTAGTGGGACAGCAGAATAGTCAACAAATAGGAAATACTGCTTATCATAAATGTTTTGTTTTATAGTATAAGGCTAAGCAAACATTCCCAATCCAACTACAACTCTTTATTGTGCGAAGTTAAATTAAACCCTTTACAATGGCAAATAGCTTGAAAAGAAAAATCAGACACTGAAAGCCATTTTGGAAACATACACCAACCCTTTGAAGTAATTCTTATGTTGGCACTACAATGCCTTTGCATGCTTTCCCAAAGGTACCCAAACAAATAAGTTCCTACATCCTTGATGGTTCATAATAAGAAACATTTGCCAGTTATATACAGCTGCCACTGCTGCACATATTTGGAGTTCTACTATAACCTTTTGCTTTCCTGATACTTAAGCTTAAACTGAGTTAAAGGCTTCCTCTGCTCTGTTTGTCAGCAGTAAGCCAGACATCATGTCTCCTCATTCTCCAGTCCATTCACTACATTTTGTGGTCAGTGTTCACCCACTTCTTCTCTGCAGTTCTACCTATTATGTACATAGTGACTGATTAAAATAAAGGAAGAAGAAAAAAATAAACAACAAACCCAACACAAAGGAAGGGAAGATATTTATACATTTATTTATACATTTATATAAAATTATGAAACTAAGACAAAACTGACACCAAGCATTGAGAAAAACAATGGACATGAATTACAAAACTAATTACTCAACAACTGATGAAAAAAGTTAAGAAACTATCAGGATCATTATACAGGTTATTTGGATTATTTTACCTACTCAAAGAGTACATTTGCTTATGTCAATTTATAACACAGGAAGGAACATTTATAGAGAACAGTTTATGTTCCATGCTTTTCCAAGTTGCTTAAGCTTGAGCTCAGACTATCAGCAGTTCCACTTTTACTTTCTCAAAACACCTGACTCCACCTACTTTCTCTACTCTGCGTTCCACAATTTTAGCAGAAAGCCATGATCTTGCCTGTCACAAGACACAGATGATGTAACTCTCTTCCCCAAAGCACCAAAGTGTTGAAAGTAAATTCCCCTTCTCAGGACTAATCCTGATGTTTTAGATGCATGCATAGGCTTTTCTTATACCTAAACCCATCCTCAACTTTAGATTTTTATTTCTTCTTCAACTGCTTCCTCCCATCTTATGTGTAAACAACAAACAAACAAACAAGAAAAGGCTCACAATTTAGCATGCCATTAAGAAAATGTCACAGCAGACAACATCGCTGAAGCCATCAGTCTGATGAGCTTAGCTCTGTGTCATAGCATCAGTTCTCCCAATTCTAGCTGTTCTCCTCCTTCTCACTGAGCAGCTGCCTCTTCTCAGAATTGCAATCATTTGGTAGGAGTTGTTTAGGCAAAATTTTGAATCAGACTTAGCTCACAGCGCTACCAGTTAACTTTTTTTTTCCCAAACAACTGAAAGATAAAAACCTAATTATATTAAAAATTTTGAAAAAGATATAAAGTAGAACCATGAGCCAAGATACGACAGGAACTTCAAAGATTCTGAAAAGAATAGTCATTGTACCTTTTTAATTCCTTATGTTGTACTTATTATCATAATTAACTATTTAAATTAAGCTCTTATTATTTATGCAAATCTGTAAATTTAGCTAGCTGACACAGAAACCCAATCACAGAACACAGATTCATTCATCACACATTCAAATACTTACACAAACAGGTTAACATTAATTTTACAGGCAGGTGATTCAACAGCTACTTTAGCTCAGCACACTATGTATTTTATTAACAGGTTATTTTCTGCATTTTATTTTTTAAGTCTGTCAAATGATTTAATAATATCCAAGTTAGTACGTGAGAACATCCTGGTTTAATTTGGGAGGTGCTCTGCAGTTCTTATTTGAAGAAATATATACTAATATACTACATACTAGATAGACAAATACATATACACACAGATTTAAGAAAGTATATATGTAGTATACAGCTGTATAGAGCATTAATTTAAAACTGTAAAAAAAAAAAAAAAAAGGTACTTTATGTTCCTGTACCTTTGTACCTTTGCACCTTTGCAATTGTGCCAGAGACAAAGGCATGTGCAGCTCTGTGCAGAGTTTAAGTATCACACCTGCAGAGTAGCATTAACAAGCCAACAGTAATGGAAGCTGTATTTCAAATTGTCCTTCCAAACTGAGGGTAGATGCAGAGAAAGGTAAGTTACCAGCAGTTTTTAATGTTACTTTTATCAACAGCTTCAAGAATTGTCAAATGCAAGCTTCATGAATACAGGTTGTAAGAAAGATCTGTATCAAAACAAAACTGAAATTCTTTCAATTTTTATTAAGAGTTTCAAAATTCACCAGTGTTGCCATACAATTCTAGCAAAATTATCCTGATTATTATTATTATGCCTCTGTACAAAGAAAAATTTGTGGTATGAAACTTCTATTATTTTAGGGTTCCTTTTATGGAGAGACTCCCTTCTGTAAAATTATGTTATACTTTATGGTAGTGCTGCAACACTATGGTTTTTGAATATGCAATTCTTAACTATTATGGCATGAAAATAAGCTTACTTTTCTGTTTTTGCAAGTATCTGCTTAAACAGTATTTATTAGAATAAAAAGAAATAAATAAAACCAGAAAAAAATTAAAATCTATCAATTCTTTTCTGCCAAACAGCAGATAGAAACAAATTTGAATCTTGATCCTGCAAACTTTTTTTTACCTGTACTCAGTTTGAGACCACTTAGTAGTCCTTTCAGTTTCAGTGGGATTTTATGAAAACATAGATAAGCACTGCCAGGAATGGGACTTTAATCTGGTGCATCTTAAATCCTACAGAATGGACATGAAATGATCAGATTAAATAAATGAATAAATAAAAAAAAAAGAAAGAAAAAAAGGGAAAAAAAAAAGACAAAAGTTCCCTTTATTCCTAATCCTGTTTTCTAACTTTTTATTTAATTGAGAGAATCTAAGGGTACTCTGCAAATCAAAATACTATGTAGCTACACCTGAAATAACTAAACAAGATGAGAAGTAGCATATATAAGCAATGAGATGCATCACAGAACTGCTTTTAGTACCTTCAGCAGCTTAAGAGCCAGGCTGGATGAACCAATACAGCACTGGATAGTGAAGTAGAACGCTAGGCCTTAACAATCTCTGTCACAAAGTGTGTAACTGCTATGAGTGACATTACAAGGCTGCCTAGCAAAACCTCCTCCTTTGAAATCCTTTCTAGGAGCTTGTTTTTAGCATAAGGCTCAGAGATGCTTTCACTACTGCAAGATCACTATTAGAAACCTCTCAATTCAGAAATAACTCTTCACCCCATCCCTTGAATACTTTTAAAAAGCCTTATGTTTATGCAGTGCTATGCAAATGTGGTAGTTAGAAGTCCTACATATGTAAGATTTAATGGCTAAACAAAAGTGGAAACCACCACCAAAACACATGTACTCAGTTCCACTCCATCTTCAACAGAATCAATCAAGGTGGCAAATGTGGGATGTGTTTTGAAATTTATTATAATCTCCAGCAGAAGCAGGTTTTGGACAACCCACATCTTTGACAAACATTATTGAAAAGTGGTAATTTAATGATGATAAATTTCAGGCAGGGTAGGAGATTCTAAGATAGAATTCATACATTTAGATTGTTTACTGAAAAAGTGGTAAATATTCCAGCTGGGTTTGGGCTAGCAGGCAAGGGTATTAAAGAACGAATGAATGAGTAATTTTGGAATATAAACCAGGACACTCCAGCTAGTCTATGAAAAACAAACAAAAAAAAGTTATGCCTTTAAGTTTAGAATACAAACACTTTAAGGGAAAAATAACAGAACTAAAATATATATGATTTAAGAGAGATTTGTGATATATCTGATTCTTTAAAAAGACATACTACAGTATGGTTGTAACAGGAAAAGAATTCCACCACTAATAATAAATCATATATGAAAGCTACAGGAAGACTGAAACATTGTTGGATAGACATTCTACTGTGTCTGACATGGCAGGGATGAAAAAAAGTTATCATGCATATGTCATACACATAAACCCTGATAATGCAGCTGATATCACAGGTGAAGCATTCTGGGCTACAGTTTTTGCACCAGGGAACAAAATACAGTCATAGCCATCCTACCTTGCTTTATTTCTTAAATATCCAATAAACTGAAGTATGCATTTAAGGCAAAGTAATTTTCAGAAAAAAATTAAATGTTTGCAATACATTAAGAACTCTTTTACTCAAATAAATGTTAAAATAGATTGTTTTCAAAGGGTTGGTGTACTGAAGCTTTAGCTAAAGAGGAAAACATCTGCACTTAGATACTCTGCAACAATCACATATTTTCTCAGCTAATTACTAAATGGGATAGTTATTAGGTATCATTATTCATTGCAATAGGGGAAAAATATACCTGTATTAATACAAACCTGACTACAAATATCTGTAAGTATGGACTCGTCTTATAAAATAAAGAAGATAATTACCCTTGAAGAATACAGACTGCAGAATTCAACATTCCCGTAAAATAGATGACAGTTTGGAGTAGCTAAAATTACCCCCTTCAACAGATACAAAATGATTTTCATGCTGCTTAGGAAACTCAATGACAGCTCAGAAGATGTTTTCACTAATGGAATTTCAGACATTATTTTTTGCAGTAGTGCAGCTGTTTTCTTTTACTCGTATAAATATTTTAAACAAATTTTAAAATTCCAGAGGTGAATTAAACTGCTTACCTTTGAGCCTCGCTCATTAAAAATAATTTCAACATCTAAGATTTTACCAAATTGCTGCAAAGAAATAGAAAAGTTACATGAAAATACGATCATTTCAACACTTTTATCATATACAGTACAAATGTTGGTTTCAGAAAATGGTGCACCATATAAAAAAGTTAAAATAATATAAAATCAAACATAGTCAAAGGTATTTGACTATTTCAAAGACAGTCTGAAACCTTTGTTTCAGAAGACTTTTTGCAGCTGCTTTCCAGGACAGTGTGGTTACTTCTGCTTTACAGGAATAACATTAAATCAACTGGGAGTTTTGTTGCTGGATTCAAGGTGTGAAGATTTCTCTCCAACCTTGCTGAAAATCACAGAATCACAGAATCCCAAGGGTTGGAAGGGACCTCAAGAGATCATCTGGTCCAACCCCCCTGTAAGAGCAGGGTAACCTAGAGTACATCACACAGGAACTTGTCCACGTGGGCCTTGAATATCTCCAATGTGGGAGACTCCACAACCCCCCTGGGCAACCTGTTCCAGTGCTCTGTCACTCTCAAATGGATAACTATTACTCCCTAAGTAATTCTCGTCTTAATAAAGTCTAATTTGGAAAACTGGAATGGATACTTCCTCATGGGCCATTTTTCCTTGCTCAGAAGTGCACTTCTATTATAGTATTAAATGTTATTACTAATGACACTACAATAGCACTCACAAACATCTAGGCATTGTTCACACACAGAAAACTTGACCACAGTTGCTATCCCAAAGCAAAAGGCTTTACTGCATTTGTCCAAGTAAAAGAATACATGTTTGATCCAGGCAGTGTTCAGTTAGAACACTTTCTGATATGACACATTTGGTGATGTAACACTGTAGTTTACCAGTGGGTCATTTCTGTTGTTTCATATGTCATTAACATGCAGTGTGGAACAGTGTTAGCAGTGATAAGTGGCACAATATATTAAACAGAAAAGCAGAAATTAGAGGCAGGTGAATGAAGAGTAATCTAGACAAAAGAGTCCAAGTCACAACCCACTATAATCCAGTCCTTTAAGATATAAAACACAATTACAGGCCAGAAAGGACAGTATTCCTTCTCTAGCTTATTAAAGTGGTTCAATATGGTTACGTAAAATCAGCCATCATTTCTTATCCTTTGGCTTATTTTGGTTTTGCATTCACTATCTAATTCATGTTGTAACTGCAATTTTAGCCTATAAGCAGATATTGACTTAATGATTAAACAATTCTCCTCTGCTGTATTTAGGTCCATGTAAAAAGATCATCTGATACATGTGCAGAATTACCATACTTCCTATCAGATTCAACTCACATCTACAGAAATTCCATTTTTTCAATTCAGAAGCTAAACTTTTACTGTTACCAAGTCATTTTAATCTGGGAAACTGACCATTCTTCAGTGTCAGTCTTTTGAGACCTAAGACTTAGAAATACTGAAAAGAGATGTATTTTTCATTCAGTTATGACTTACTACAAAACCTACAAAGAACCCCAACTTTCAATTAATCTACTTTCAACCAATATAAATCTACTTTAACTGGCTTGTTAAATTTAAATAAATTTGCATATTTTCTTGGAGGGGTTAATTATTATGACTTCTGCTATTATGCAGATGAGCTGTAACCTGCATTTAGAGGCGGTTGCTTGTAGCAAGTCAGATATGGCAAAATAGTCATTCTCATTTCCCAATACTATATCAGGATTCTTTTTCCAGTAACTTCATGGAAATAAATATTTAAAACCACAACGTCTTAACTCACATAGAGAGACATTAGAAGTATTTAAAAATCTGAACTGAACATGAAATATGGAGAGAAGTATAGTGCCATGATGCTGCACTAACACAGAACAGAACAAAGTTTTAGCAGGTCAGAAATAAGAAAGCAAGAATAACACAAATACTTAAGAGTACTAACTTAAAGGAAAACTTGGGTACAAATAGCTGATTAAGTACCATTACTAGTTTTTATTTAGTGACATTTTAAAATAAACCTAAGAATTCTTGGAGCAGGGAGAAGAAATCTGGTCTAATCTGTCACAAGCCTAAGAACTGATGGCACGTATGAGATGCATGAAACACATCCAATGCGCTTAAAGGCAGCTAATGGCCCGGGTACAAGCAAAATTTGAGGGACATACAGAAAAAGACTAGCAAAAACTTTAGAAGCTCACAGACCTACAATTCTTGTGGGGATGGGTGAGGATTCCTACTCCTGGACTTCCTGCCTACATTCAGCCCATGTCTTACTTATACATATTTGGGTCCTTTGCTCATGAGGTTAAGCATTTACTATTTCACATCATGCTCTCCAAATACCAATAAATACAGGCATATAAATCCAAATGTGTACAGCAGGAATCTATATGCATTAAATATTTTAAGTCAACATAAATAGCTTTTTCTGAATGTAATGCAAAACAACATAATACATAGAATACACCTATCTATATCACAGAAAAATCAGGAGAATTTCTTTTCCCAGTTGTGACTGGCAAATCAGATGTTTGGTTATAAATAAATGAAAAGCGAATCTTTACTAAAAATGGTTAAACAGTCTAAATCAGAAATACTGCTGTCACAGCTACCTATAATATAAAATACCTGCAATGCTAGAAAAGCATAAAGAAAGAAATAAGAGTACTTACACCAAACATTTGTCTAAGATCTGGATCCCGGAATCTGAACGGTATATTTGAGACATGAAGCCTTTTTGGCTGTGATTTGTTTTCTGTGTTTTCAGAAGATTGTGTCTGTTGCTGGCCATCGGTCTGTGCTGCATCATCTGTCTGCTAAAAAGGTAAAGCAAAATAAAACTCACTGTAAGCATTTCTGCCATTTTTAGTATAAAGTGGTGGGCTTGAATTCTCAAAAAAGACTAAAAAGGAGTTAAATCTGCTCAAAGGTGTTGAAGAATACTATAAGTTGTTCTTTCATTATATCATACACTGCCAAGTTAATCACTGTGTACAGCACACATTCACTAGAAAAAGATTTTTCATAGGTATGTAGAAACAGCATAATGTTTTCTTTTGCATTGGTAGAAGGGATTTGGAAGAAAAGAGGAGGAAAGAAAATAGCTGAATTAAACTACGAGGATCACCTTACAACTGTTACTCTATTTTCTCTGTCCTTCCTCTTCCTTCTGACCATATTCATCTTCCAAGTATTCATTTTCCTCTTGTGTTCTAATGTTCCAGTTCAGCTTATCTTTCTGACTTCTTTTCATTAAAGCAAAAGAAGAAATCTCCCATTTTCGGCTAGTATCAAATTTCTTTTAAGAGATAATCATTAAAGCAAAATAGAAGTGGTTTAATAAAATAAACCTTACCACACAGTTTTAGTACCAATAAGCCTGTTAAGAAAGAAGCAAAAGAACTCAAACAGAATAAATTATTTACATCAGCAGTTACTACATATAAATCTAATTCTAGCAAGTTAAATTCAACATCATCTTCCCTCACAAATGCAAATGTTCTCAAATGCTAAACATGGTATATAGCTGTTAAGAGACAAAAACATGTTCCATGCTAATCTCTTGCTATCTGAAACCAACTAAAACCCTAAAAAATTAGATTTTAGGTAACTGTTCCATCCATAGACACCACAGAGATTACTTTGTACCTTCAGGCCTTAAAAGGAGAGAAATATGAAGGAAATTTGGTACATGAAAGCAGCTGGGGACTGGAAACTTGAAATACAACACTCCAGAAGAATTTAGGGTCAATTAGATGAACTGAAGAGAACTAAAGAATTCTAAAGATGCTGTTTAGCTTCAGGAACAGAGGGTGCTCCTTGAAGAAAATATATAATCAGCATACTGTATAAATGCAAATTGAAAAATGTAATTTCTGCTCATCATAGATGATGAGAAACAAGGAGTAGGAGGTTTGAACCATGCACTATTATCATACCAAAACAACAACTTCCATGTGAGAAGCTGAACAGATATGTTGCCAATAAAAAAGCCAGTGAGGTTTCTGGAGATGATGTTACAATGATGGAGCTACAAATTATGGGCAAAGTTAGTAAGTCTAAGCACTGTTATTTTCTGGGTATTTCTTCTGGATTTTATCACTTTTGTTCACAGAAGCCTGAAATTTAAAGTTGCAGCAAAGAATGTCTCGGAGTTTGGGCAGTGAGGACTGAAAATCAGAATCTTCAGAAGATCATCAACATCAAAGATTAATACCTGTCAATACTCTTAAAGAAGTCTGTGCCAGAATTAACATAGCTAAGCCATTTAAGATGTATTAAAGGGTTTGAAAATGTAACAGCCTCTTTACAAAGCATATTATCATCCAGAAATCTATGGATGTGACTAGCAGATCTGGAGAAGGATAACTACAAATTGAAACTGGAATGTGACACTTATACAAAAACTTCCAGTAACACCAAGGAGGTAAAATACAGAGGACAGGCCACATTTTCTGAAATCCCAGAAAGGAAAGTTTCAAAGCCCTGTGGACTGAAAGAGCTAAAATGCAATTTATGTTACATGTACATTATACATTTCAAAAGAATATTTTCATTGCTAGAGGATCTAAAGACCGGTGTTTGATATTTCTACAAAAATTAATTGAAGTTAGCATAGGGGACTACCCTTGCTACATCTCTGCAGTTTTGTAAGCAGTCAGACTGCTTTCTGGTTCCTATTCTACCACATATTTTCAATTATGAAATATTAAAAAAATTTAATATATGGTACTCTTACAACTTATAATTAAAGTTATAAATACCGCATACTAAAGTAGAAGAACTCACATGCACAGAAATAAATTGAGATTAACTCCTGTTACTTCAGTGAGCTACTGAAGGCTTAGGTGCTAAAAGAAACTAAAATTGAAACTATTCTTATAGGTAACCAAACGCAAACCAAAGAGGGTGTTTCAGAAACTTCTTTTTTTTTTTTTAATTTCATAAAAGATACTTGCAATATAAATATATGGTATACATTGAAACCAATGTTTAGGACAGTTAAAATAAAATCTGTCATTTTGTATAGGAATTCTTTATCTTTCCCAATACACTAAATTTTTGTTTCCTTACCTCAGGTGCAGAAATAGAAATCTTGTATTCTTTAATTGACTTCACTCAAGTTCTTAAAAGACTTGACATTGAAGTCCAGTTCTTAAAATCAATTAAAATAAGAATGTATTTATTTTAACCAGCCTAGTTTTTCCACAACTGTCACTACTACTACTTCTTCTGTTTTCACGGAGAGGAGGTTAAATGCAATGAAATAAACCAGAAGCTGAGTAGTTGAAAAGGTTCCCTCTAACAACTGGCAACAGTCATGACTCCTAATAATACCTGTTGTGCAGTGACTGCCCAAGTGCAAGCAGTGGTCCCCGTTGAACTCCTGAAGGACCTGTCAAGAGTGTATCTAGTCCTTAAAGAGTTGCTGTTCCTTCTGGGGCAAGTGAGCCCCAAGGAGTCTTAGATCCTTCCATCTCACCCGCAAAGCACACAAGATGCAGTGTGCTGCCTCAGGATCAACTAGCACTACACATTCTAGAATCAGAAGAAATACTGTAATATACCCGAATTTAACTGAAAACATTTTTTAAAACATTCCAGCAAAGAGTAGTAATTTCCCTTACTAATCCCAATTTGCAGTATTACATCCTCAGAAATATATACTTCAGACTGGGGAGGGAGGGGAAGTATGCTTTAAAACCTTCATCTATTGCTAATACAAGCCCATTTCCAAGGTTACTCCTGACTGGACCCAAGAGTGCCATCTCCCATCCTCAGCACTTGTGGCACCACATATTATACACCAGAATGTTCAGCGAACCTGAAATCAGTGAGGGCCTCATGCATACTGTTTGGACAGAAAAAATAATTCCATTCTTCTCCCCAGAAAATACAGATTTTCTGTATCCTTTCCATCTATTACTGAGAGCATCCAGATTCAGTTTGTCTCTTACACTGGAATCGTAAGCGTTACACTTTCATTGACTAATCTCTTCCATTTTCTGCAAAACAATGGTAGTGTAGACAGAATCTTTCACCCTCAAACCCTCTTTTAAACGTAATGAAATGCTGTCACAGAGGAGCTGTTGGCATGCCACTACAGAAAGAATGCTGTCTTCAATCTCAGCTTTTAAAGAATGGAACATAAACAGTAGGAATGCCTAAAGTTGAACTAAACCTATTAACTCTTCCTGGACAAGCTGAAAATATGTTGTATTAGAATAGCTTGAAAAAGCTTTACCAAGTCTCGATCATTCTTCTATAACCTGTAACCAAATACAAAGCAGTTGCATGTTTTTTTAATCCCACACCAAGACTAGAGGAAGAACAGCCTAATTCTAGTAGGAACAACCTGTAAAATATTTACAGGAAGAAAAGCAACAGATTATTTTTTTTATATTATATATATTATATATTCAATGGCAAACAGAGATACTACACTGAGTTTCTCATATATACAAACCCACATAATCGTAAAGTTCTTTACAATTTGAAGTTTTAAAACACTCATCAATTAAACAAACAAAACAAAACAAAACAAAACAGCTCAAAACAGCACCTGTTTTTTCCTGCTGCACCAATCAAGTTATTTCTGAGACAGAAAGAGCTTGTGAATATCTTCTAGGCATTATTTGATTAAGCTGACAATATTATGTGAGCAATGGCTGAATACTCACTATGCTGTACTTCTGACCAAATTGATTTGTGTAATGAACACTTGCTCTGTCTCTTCTCTAGCCTGAATAGGGCTCTTGATTTAACCAGTGGTGCTGGAAGCCAAGTGAATTTACAGCCCCCACAGTCATTCTCTCTCAATCTGGAGAGAATAGCAGCAGCAGTACATGAGCAAGCATAATTCAATACATTGTGCTATAAGTGCAGAAAATAATATCAGAGCTCTGCAATATACCTGTTTGATTTGATTTGTAAACCTGATAAAAAAAAGCAATCGAGAAAAGTTCAGGAGAAAAAAATATATATGCATCCTGCGCAAAAATATAACCAATACTGAATGTGTGCAAACTGAAAAAATCAGGCACAGTAAATCTACTTCATACTTTCCTTAGATAATATTGCACATTTTCCATTTAAAAAGGATCCAGATTCTGAAAAGTTACCTTTCCATTAAAAAGTCACCAAAGAGAATAATTTAAAACTGAGTTTGGGACTTTCTGGAAATACCATTTCCCAAATATACTACAAGCAGTGTACTGACAAACACGATGGGTTTTTATCTTTCCTGTTTTCTTAAGTAGATTTTCTGATTAATTAATCATACTGGTTTTGATGAATTTATATTCTGAAAAGTCCTAGCTCTTCAATATGTTTCCCAGAAGCATAACATAGACGCAAAGGAGCTACCAAGGCAGATACCTCTGTCTGTACTTAAATGCTTACACATAGGTGTACACATGACAAAAATTCAATCACTGTGGTTTTTTACAACTGTGATAAACATTACCAGAAGTATCAGTAACTTTTGTTGTCAGCTGCATCTCTGTTATCCTTTTCTCATGAATAAAGATCAATAGTAAAGTCTTACTGCTTTCAGGATATTACAAGGTGAAATTATTTTTTCAAATTAGTTCTAAAGATAAACATTTTCTCAGTATCTCAGACTGCAAGGCATGCTGCTCATGCTACATCAATTTATCCCCTTAAGAATCCATTTCTGAAGACAATGTGCACTGTTCTTTGTTCTGATCTAGTGCAAGCTGCACATACATGTGGGACTTGCCATTAGTCACAAAAAATAATGTAATAGATTAATCATGACTGCATTTGGTAAAGTTACTATATTTCCAGTGTAACT